CCTATATGAAACACAGCCCCTATTTAAGTGTTTCTAAAATCCTCTATGGGAAAAATGAATGGTGTAAAAACAATTGGAACCATTTCCGTTTGGCCGCTAGGTTTTATAGGTATTATGACTCATGCTGTGGTACTCTATGGCATGCCTACCAACCCACTGTGCTTGGTAGTTGTAGTTCACATCTCTCAATTAAATCAGTGGATATTTATGCAATGAAGACATTTGTGATTCTTAAGGGTCTGTAACAATACTTTTCACTGTAATGTGCGTCAGTGGTCATGAATGACTCTCCTCCTCACACACTTATTTTTTTCTATCGCTCAATTTTTAGGAATGACTCCGCATAGCCTGGTCCCAGTTCTGTTTGTGCTGTCTTGTTTAGTGTGACAATGACCATAGGATTTGGCAAGATAACACAAACAGATCTGGCAGCAGGCTAGGTTCCGCATATTTTTTAGTGCAAATGTTTATCATCATCCGTAGACGATCAGATGCACCGCAGCACAGTGTTATTATGGCCATACAGTAAACATTGCTACGTTATGCCATGGCTTTCAACTGTAAATACCAGGGTTGGCGTCAGTTCCATTTCAATTGACCCCAATCCTGGTAGATAATAGTTTATCTGTACTGTACATATGCACACAGAGTAAATGGATATTCCACAAGTCACTATAATTCAATTTTTATGTCCATAATTGAATATAATACCATGTATTTAATGAGCAAGTTGACACCATTGTAAAACTCACTCATTCACTCGCCTATTACTATATAAGGACACCATCGTTATTGTATCTTGGGGCTTTGGGGGGTGCTGTTGTATCTTGGGTAAAATTGGCCTGCAATTGGGTGCTATGTAGTAACCAATGTAAAGGGTGGGGGTGTGGGGTACCTTTCTTTTAAATGTATTGAAAATATATGTATTGTTTGTATAATGTGCTTGACAATGCCTATGATATAAACAAAGTCACAGCTTACTATTATGAGCTTATAGTAAGTTAGTTATCCAGCAGCTGCTAGCTTTATTTATTTAATCACTGCCATTTAGTTGTTTTCTGTTGCTTTTGGTGGGGAGGGCAAGGAAATGTGATTAGAACAAAAATGAACCTATAACTCAGCTTTTATAGCTAGATCATGCTGATAGAAACATGCAGGGCTTGCAATTGATTGTACTATTCAGTTAGTCAAGGCAAAGATTTACTGTGTATCACACACAGCTACAAACCTAGCCAAAGAAGAGACTGGGTTGATAAAGTTGGAAAAGCAGATATTGTCAGATTTGTCATTGCTTAAGCTTTATTTGACGAGCTTCTACAAGGGTATCCTCATGCAATAACTTTCATGTATTAAATATATCTCTAGGTTAGCTTCGTCATGTCATAGAATATGGTCTCAGCAGCACATTGAACGCACAACACTGAAGACAATCTATGATGTCGCTATACACCATGAATGTTTTGGATGTTTCATGTCAATGTGTGTCCACGTACAGTAACTCACTGTTGTTGTTCAATACCCATGTAGTTGTTAGTATTGGAATTCACTACCTGATTGTTTTTCCCCCTCTCCATTTTGTATTGCGTTGGAAGTGTTCTATGTCACACCTGAACTATGTAAGATGTATTTACTCAGAGCTATAGAATAAAGTGATAGAACATGTTTTTCATTTCAATCTTAATGTTCCACATTGTGCCCTGCTTAATGTGTTAACTGCACTGATTTGAGGGAGGGACACACTCTGCATTGCTCAATGTTTACAGACAGCAGTCTTCCACCAACAAAGGAGTGGTCGTACAAGCTGACCTACAGCCCTCCTATAGTACACAAACACCGACCATGAACTGAGGTAAACTGTACTTGTTTCGTAGGACGCCTTTGTCCAACAGCCAGTAAAAACAGGAGGGATTGAAAACGAAAACGAGAAGTATCAAATTTCTTGGAACACAGCTACAGTTGAAGTCGGAAGTTTACATACACTTAGGTTGGAGTCATTAAAACTCGTTTTTTCAACCACTCCACAAATTTCTTGTTAACAAACTATAGTTTTGACAAGTCGGTTAGGACATCTACTTTGTGCATGACACAAGTCATTTTTCCAACAATTGTTTACAGATTATTTCACTTATAATTCACTGTATCACAATTCCAGTGGGTCAGAAGTTTACATATACTAAGTTGACTGTGCCTATAAACAGCTTGGAAAATTCCAGAAAATGTCATGGCTTTAGAAGCTTCTGATAGGCTAATTGACATCATTTGAGTCAATTGGAGGTGTACCTGTGGGTGTATTTCAAGGCCTACCTTCAAACTCAATGCCTCTTTGCTTGACATGGGAAAATCTAAATAAATCAGCCAAGACCTCAGAAAAGAATTTGTAGACCTCCACAAGTCTGGTTCATCCTGGGGAGCAATTTCCAAATGCCTGAAGGTACCACGTTCATATGTACAAACAATAGTACGCAAGTATAAACACCATGGGACCACGCAGACATCATACCGCTCAGGAAGGAGACGCCTTCTGTCTCCTAGAGATGAATGTACTTTGGTGCGAAAAGTGCAAATAAATCCCAGAACAGCAAAGGACCTTGTGAAGATGCTGGAGGAAACAGGTACAAAAGTATCTATATCCACAGTAAAACGAGTCCTATATCGACGTAACCTGAAAGGCCGCTCAGCAAGGAAGAAGCCACTGCTCCAAAACTGCCATAAAAAAGCCAGACTACGGTTTGCAACTGCACATGGGGACAAAGATCGTACTTTTTGGAGGAATGTCCTCTGGTCTGATGAAACAAAAATAGAACTGTTTGGCCATAATGACCATCGTTATGTTTGGAGGAAAAAGGGAGTGGCTTGCAAGCCGAAGAACACCATCCCAACCGTAAAGCACAGGGGTGGCAGCATCATGCTGTGGAGGTGCTTTGCTGCAGGAGGGACTGGTGCACTTCACAAAATAGATGACATCAAGAGGAAGAAAAATTATGTGGATATATTGAAGAAACATCTCAAGACATCAGTCAGGAAGTTAAAGCTTGGTCGCAAATGGGTCTTTCAAATGGACAATGACCCCAAGCATAATTCCAAAGTTGTGGCAAAATGGCTTAAGGACAACAAAGTCAAGGTATTGGAGTGGCCATCACAAAGCCCTGACCTCATTCCTATAGAATATTTGTGGGCAGAACTGAAAAGCGTGTGCGAGCAAGGAGGACTACAAACCTGACTCAGTTACACCTCTGTCAAGGAATGGGCCAAAAATCACCCAACTTATTGTGGGAAGCTTGTGGAAGGCTACCTGAAACGTTTGACCCAAGTTAAACAATTTAAAGGCAATGCTACCAAATACTAATTGAGTGTATGTAAACTTCTGACCCGCTGGGAATGTGATGAAAGAAATAAAAGCTGAAATAAATCATTCTCTCTACTATTATTCTGACATTTCACATTCTTAAAATAAAGTGGTGATCGTAACTGACCGTAACTGAGGAAATTTTTACTGGGATTAAATGTCAGGAATTGTGAAAAACTGAGTTTAAATGTATTTGGCTAAAGTGTATGTAAACCTCCGACTTCAACTGTACATAAGCAGATGAACGGTGAAGTTGTGGCTGTGTTATGGAAACACCTACTTTTGAAAGGGATGTGTTCTGAATGTTTAACTTTCAAAAATGTATTTTTTCACCCAGTGACCTGTGTGTGAAAAGACTGGTGGAAGCACAACTGGCATCATTACCCAATACAATAAGCCACATCATCCTGTTGGTCCGATGAAAAGAGACAGAGGATGGTGTGATGAGGTCTAGGGTTTGTATTCTCTCCCACACACACACACCTGTTTCAGACACGTTGGCCACCTGCCAACCTGGCCATGGCAAGTATATTGAGGCAGTGTGTGTTTGGATATCGAACCTGCTCCCCTCGTTGCCGAGTTTACAGTCAGGTCTTCATTAATAACACACACAGACCACACACACCAGTCACGCAGGAGTCAGGCTTGGGTACCTGAACAGGTAACAAACATTCATTCACAGGTAAAACATGAAACACATAGTTACTGGACTGACTTTACGTATAGAATCCAGATGCATAGAGCAGTGCTTCCCAACCCTGGTCCTTGTGTACACCCAACAGTACACATTCTCGTTGTAGCCCTGACAAAGACACCTCATTCAACTCATTGAGGGCTTGATGATTAATTGACAAGTTGAATCATGTGTGCTTGTCCAGGATTACAATAAAAATGCTTACTGTTGGGGGTTCTCGAGGACCAGGGTTGGGAAACACTGCCATAGAGAACCATGCATTACTCAAGTTGAGTTCGACTCCATTAGAGACATCAATAAATGCATGAAACACACCATAGTTGTAGATATACTTCTCTATCCCAAGGGATGAGTAATGTTCAAGTGTTTTCACAGTTTAGTGCATGTTCTAAGGTCCCTGACTGAGAATGTCTTTATTTAACTAGGTAAGATGAGAACACGTTCTCTTTTACAATATTTACCTGGCCAAGGCCTTTAAGCTACAGACCACTGTCTAGTTCGTACAACTTGGGAGTTTCCACATCTAGATAAAAGAGATAGGAATAAGCTCCACCTCATCTTCCAATGGGCTTATGAGCGCAGGAAGTTAAGGGCGTAGGAGCTAATGAGCAGTGGAGATCATCATGCACCAGAGCATTCTAGAACATTCACATTTTTCTTGAGGAAGTGACACATTTCATATGTCCTATGATAGGTGGAGGTAGCAATCTTAGAACTCAAATGTTAGTGCACGAGAACGACAGATACGGAAAATGCCCTTTTCTTCAAGATCAAATGTCAACAGATGTTTTGTAGTCATACAAAACTCAAGAACACTTGAGTATTGTTGTTTGCATAAGGTTCAATTTTGTGAAGGGAGTTGAGAAAAGACAAAAAATCAAAATGCAGGAAATAAACAAGTAATTGTGTCTGAGGCCTCTATCAGTGTTGATCTAATGCTACTAACAAAACTAACTCAATCTATTGCATTGGCACAATTCTCTTGACGGCCTCTAAAACATCTTCATTCTCCACTTTGTTGCCAAACTCCTTCTCCCTGTGCTCCAGAAGAATACCCTGAGGAGCAAAAAAGACAACATTAATTTAAAAAGGGACCTACATAATACCAAACAAGCTCACAACACAACAATGATGCTCTCTGTCCATTCGTTTTCATTAAATCATGTTTGTATCCATATTGTCCTGCTGATGGCCACTGATTACTAAGGAGTTGATAACAGATACAAAGTGTGTGTTGGCAGTTTGAGTCTAACAGCTCCAATCAATGATTCCCAGCTGTGGCTGAGCCCACTCCATTGATGCACAGCCCTGTATGTGTGTGTGTGGTACCTGGTTCCCCGCTCCGATGACAAACACGCCTCCCAGGACAAAGCCCTCCCCCAGCATGTTGCCCTGGTAACCAGCCTTCCAGGCCCGCATGAAGTTCTGCCACACCCCCTGACGGATGAACCCCAGCCCCCCCATCTTCCTCTGTAGCGGGCCGTAGAAGTGGTGCTGCAAGGGACACGAGCAAAACAATCAATCAGTCAGTCAGTCCTTGGAGAAAATAAAACTTGAAACAAAGTCAGGCACAGACAATGGGCACACTATATCTACACCAGAGCATGTGAGCGAAGTTGAGCTGTCGGAAATTCCGCTCTGTATCCTTTCCAACCGCCGCTCCGCACTCACAGGAAAAAAAATGGCGCTCCAAATTCGATCCATTCATTAAAATCACAATTTAACCAACACCCATATATTTTTGTGACTACCTGGACCTACCAATTGGTTTTGAAGTACTGAAACCAAACCATATCGATTTGAATGAAAAGTATTTGAATAAACATGAAAAGGTGAATGTAAGAAGTGCACATCATTTCAAATAGGCTAAATGTCATATTAAACAGCATATAAACACTAAATAGGTCAAGAGCCAGACATGGAGCCTAAGAAGGAACAAATTATTTAGGCTATATTATTTCAAGGCTATAGCCTACAAATAAATACATTGTGAAGTATTTGCGAGTGTGACACACTAGGCTGGTATGGACATAAAGCGCTCAGCATTTAAACAACATTTCGTTGTATTCAATCATTTTAGTCTATAAATTGCGCATATAGACTTACTTAGAATAAAAAATTAAAAAATTTAAAAAAAGACTTATTAGTGCCTTTGAATTCATTTTTAGAAACACGAGTTTGGCCAGTCTGCAGCTTCAGGCTCATCCGATGGTGCCTGGAGAGCCGGCCAGCAGCGGAGAATATCCGCTCCACACTTGCAGAGCCACTGGGGATGCTAAACACCCTTTTGGCCAGTCTTGCCAGGCTGGGCAGAGATGCAGAGTTATTTTTTTTTTTTTCCTATAGGTAGGCATAAAGGTTTTTAGGCAAAATAACCCAATCAAAACAGAAAGCTCCTTGAACGTGGGAATATGCCAAGCCTATTGGGCCAAAATCAATTATGGCCTATTGTATAGATAATAGAACAAAAATGAACTAAAAGTTTAAGAGATCTGATTTTTAGTTTAGAAATACTTTGCTACAATGACACACAGTTATCTACCCACCTCGTTCCTTTCTTTTAGCATGTACACGTAGTAAGTAAAGCATCATGCTTTCGGGATATGTGTCTTCAGATTCCACAATGATTCTTTAGTTGTGGACACTAAATCACCGCACTCCCTCTCTTGCTCTTGGTCCTCATCTTTGTAAGTCAGTTTATTTATGAAAATATTTAGCGACCTCCATGACAGTAGCTAAAACAAGGGGCTATAGCAGCACACAAGTAAACTACAAATGCATGCTGGGCCGGGCATGCCCTGAGCTCGTGAAGTGAGCGCTACTGGAGCGAAATTGGAGCGGGCGAGAATGCCGAAGCTCCAGCCTTTGGGAATCTCGCTCCGTGCTCCAGTCAAATTGGGAATGCTCCTCTCCAGCTACACTCACATACTCTGATCTACACATGGTTTAGCTCCTCTCCTTCATGGCAGGCCTATGTAGTGATCTATTCAAACATGTTCACAGTTCTTTCAGGCCAGTGCAGATGAAGGAAAGGAGGAGACAAGGAGAGGAAGCCTTTGTTAAACTATTGAGATGCACCCATAGAGCGTCAGGTCAGTCTCACCTTCACGTCTACATAGATGTCCCCAGCAAAGTGAGGTCGGAAGTCCTCGATCTCCGTGCCAATGTTCTCCTTCACCACGGCAACCAGAGGGACACCAAGCTCCTCAAGCTGGGTCTTCAGAGAGGACAGCTCAGAGGCCTCCTACACAGACAATTAGTACAATTCCAATAATAGGATGGGGCCTCGTTTATTTGGAATTTAGGCCTGCAGATTTTGCCTAATGCATACAGCGGAATCTACACAACAACAACATATGGTGTGGAATAGACTTGAATTAAGACCATTTCTGAAATAGTAAAAAAAAAGCTGACTATACTGTAAAGTATCAGTAACATCATCACTTCACCTCTCTGCACAAAAATCATCCGGGCCGTCGTACAGCCATGACTACTGCTCCTGTCTTCTCCCACAGAGTTTTGGCCTTCATGGTCTTCTCATCTGCAGGACACACACACACATACACATACACATTATACACAGCACATACATTTAAAAAAACTCTGGGCCCTAATGTATGGCTCAGAGTTTTTCCTGAATACATGACCAAGAATAACTCCAAGCCTGCAGTGTGTTACATGTACAGTGCCATCAGAAAGTATGTATACCCCTTGACTTTTTCCACTTTGTGTTACAAAGTGGTATTAAAATTTATTTAATCGTCATTTTTTTGTCAACAATCAACACACAATACTCTGTAATGTCAAAGTGGAAGAAAAATTCTAACATAAAAAAGAAAAAAGAAACGAATATATCTGGATTAGATAAGAATTCAACCACTTGAGTCAATACATGTTAGAATCACCTTTTGGCAGTGATTACAGCTATGAGTCTTTCTGGGTAAATCTCTAAGTGCTTTCCACATCTGGATTGTGCAACATTTGCCCATTATTATTTTCTAAATTCATCAAGCTCTGTCAAATTGGTTGTTTATCATTGCTAGACAAACATTTTCAGATCTTGCCATAGATTTTCAAGCAGATTTAAGTCAAAACTGTAACTAGGCCACTCAGGAACATTCATTGTCTTCTTGGTAAGCAACTCCAGTGTAGATCTGGCCTTGTGTTTTAGGTTATTGTCCTGCTGAAAGGTGAATTCATCTCCCAATGTCTGGTGGAAAGCAGACTGAACCAGGTTTTCCTCTAGGATTTTTCCTATGCTTAGCTCCATTCCATGTATTTTTTATCCTGAAAAACTCCCCATACCTTAATGATTACAAGCATACCCATAACATGATGCAGCCACCACTATGCTTGAAAATATGGAGAGCGGTACTCAGTAATGTGTTGTATTTGCCCCAAACATAACACTTTGTATTCAGGATAAAAAGTGTATTGCTTTGCCACATTTTTGGCAGTTTACTTTAGTGTCTTCCTGCAAAAAGGATGCATGTTTTGGAATATTTTTTATTCTGTACAGGCTTCCTTCTTTTCACTCTGTCAATTAACGTAGTATTATGGAGTAACTACAATGTTGTTGATCCATCCTCCCTTGTCTTTGTGGTCGAATCTGTTTGAAATTCACTGCTCAACTGAGGGACCTTAGAGATAATTGTATGTGTGGGGTATAAAGATGAGGTAGTCATTCAAAAGCCATGTTAAACACTATTATCGCACACAGAGTGACGCCATGCAACTTGTGACTTGTTAAGCAATTATTTTTACTCCTGAACTAATTTAGGCTTGCCATAATAAAGGGGTTGAATAATTAGACTTTCAGCTTTTCATTTTTCATGAATTTGTAAAATTTTCTAAAAACTTTATTACACTTTCATATTATGTGGTATTGGGTGTAGGCCAGTGACAAAAAATCTCTTCAATTCAGGCTGTAACACAACAAAATGTGGAAAAAGGGGTGTGAATTCTTTCTGAAGGCACTGTATAAAGACTGGGTTAAACGCATGGATAAATGTGTTTAGTAAGGAGCGTAATAGTTTTACATCATGTTCCCTCTTTACATTAAGCCCTTGTTACATGGAGGGAAAATTGCATAGGATAGGCTAGCTCATTTAAATACTGCTTTTTACTGAGGGTTCTCAAAGTGCTTTACATTTAGTGGGAGTTTTATAGCCTACCATGTATGGCCGAGGATTTAGCCTGTGGACAGTTGAGCATTCACTCATGTCTTAGCCACATTACAATAACCTACAGTGCATTCGGAAAGTATTCAGACCCCTTGAATTTTTCCACATTTTGTTACGTTACAGCCTTATTCTAAAATGGAGTAAATTGTGACAAAGCAAAAACAGGTTTTTAGAAATGTTTGCAAATGTATAAAAAATAAAAAACAGAAATACCTTATTTACATAAGTATTCAGACCCTTTACTCAGTACTTTGTTGAAGCACCTTTGGCAGCGATTACAGCCTCGAGTTTTCTTGGGTATGACGCTACAAGCTTGGCACACCTGTATTTGGGGAGTTTCTCCCATTCTTCTCTGAAGATCCTCTCAAGCTCTGTCAGGTTGGATGGGGAGCGTCGCTGCACAGCTATTTTTAGGTCTCTCCAGAGATGTTAGATCGGGTTCAAGTCCGGGCTCTGGCTGGGCCACTCAACGACATTCAGAGACTTGTCCCGAAGCCACTCCTGCGTTGTCCTGTTGGAAGGTGAACCTTCACTCAGTCTGAGGTCCTGAGCACTCTGGAGCAGGTTTTCATCAAGGATCTCTTCGTACTGCTCCGTTCATCTTTCCCTCGATCCTGACTAGTCTCCCAGTCCCTGCCGCTGAAAACATCCCCACAGCATGATGCCGCCACCACCATGCTTCACCATAGGGATGTTATTGGCCAGGTGATGAGCAGTGCCTGGTTTCCTCCAGATGTGACGCTTGGCATTCAGGCCAAAGAGTTCAATCTTGGTTTCATCAGACCAGAGAATCTTGTTTCTCATGGTCTGAGAGTCCTTTAGTTTACTTTTGGCAAACTCCAAGCGGGCTGTCATGTGCCTATTACTGAGGAGTGGCTTCCGTCTGGCCACTCTACCATAAAGGCCTGATTGGTGGAGTGCTGCAGAGATGGTTGTCCTTCTAGAAGGTTCTCCCATCTCCACAGAGGAACTCTTGCGCTCTGTCAGAGTGACTATTGGGTTCTTGGTCTCCTCCCTGACCAAGGCCCTTCTCCCCCGATTGCTCAGTTTGGCCGGGCGGCCAGCTCTAGGAAGGGTCTTGGTGGTTCCAAACTTCTTCCATTTAAGAATAATGGAGGCCACTGTGTTCTTGGAGACCTTCAATGCTGCAGACATTTTTTGGTACCCTTCCCCAGAGCTGTGCCTCGACACAATCCTGTCTCGGAGCTCTAAGGACAATTCCTTCGACCTCATGGCTTGGTTTCTGCTCTGACATGCACTGTCAACTGTGGGACCTTATATAGACAGGTGTGTGCCTTTCCAAATCATGTCCAATGAATTGAATTTACCACAGGTGGACTCCAATCAAACTCAAGGATGATCAATGGAAACAGGATGCACCTGAGCTCAATTTCGAGTCTCATAGCAAAGGGTCTGAATACTTTTGTAAATAAGGTATTTCTGTTTTTTATTTTTCTATACATTTGCAAAAATTTCTAAAAACCTGTTTTCGCTTTGTCATTATGGGGTATTGTGTGTAGATTGATGAGGAAAAACATTTATTTAATCAATTTTAGAATAAGGCTGTAACGTAACAAAATGTGGAAAAAGTGAAGGGGTCTGAAAACCTTTCGAATGCAATGTTTATAGGCTAATACAAAGAATGGGGCTTTCACTGGGGATGCAAGTTTAATTGTTTGTAAACATATGGACTGAAAAGATATGGACAGATGGCAAGCTCTGCCGATGTAGAGGAAGGAAGCTGGTTTTAGCCTTGCACTGTGATGTCACCTTTCCTGAGACTTTAAGTAACTTTGACTGACCATCAAGGGTTAAGGTTTGGAAAACTGGTTAAATTCCTTGTCATGTTGTTGGTCCAAATTCACGGCCTGTGCAATGCCTCTATGTGGTGGTAGAATAGGTGAACCAGGGCCATCGTACCGTCTCCAGTGGAGCGGAGGTCTGCGACCTCCAGGTACTCCAGCGAGGCCTGGGCAGCCTTGGTCAGACACAGGTCAGTATTAGCCAGGAAGATCCCTGCGATGGCTGCTCCTAAGGCCCCCAGACCCAGAGACCAAATCCCCATCTCAAACAGCTCCACCTCGAGGACGGAGGACAACACTGCAGACAAAGACAGGAGAAGACAAACATGATTATCAAAGTGATTTACAAAATATATTTTTCTTAGGAAAGAAGAAACACAGGAACCAGACCTAGAGGAGTGAGGGGGAGGGGGGCTCCTACTCTGGTTGGCCACACTTATGATTTCTCGTTTAGTCAGTTCATGGGACTTTACCGTTAGTAGCTAGGTTTCCATCCAATAAGCGACAGATTTTCATGCAAATATTCTACAATCCGCATAAATACAAAATGCCAGAGATGTGTTTCCATCAAATTGACTGGTGTTGCGGATAAAAAGCTGTGCGTGACGAAGTCATGCACATAAAAATGAAATGTGCGGTTAAATTCCCATGTACTGAATAAAAAAGTAAATGGGTTTCCAGTACGGGTAGGCTACCTAAATGATGAGATTATTATAGACAAAATAGCGAGATTGCTTGGCTGCCGTTTTGACAAACAAAATCATTGATGTCACCAGAATAAGACTCTCAATATTTATTGGAAAGCAGCATCAAGCTCATCAACGTGCACTTTCACCACTCTGTGAAGTTCATCATAACTTATTTCATTTGTAGCCTAATAAACTGGATGCTTTCCCGAGTCGTTGTGGGAGGAACACACAACACATCATCGCGTGACTCCAAGTTTGCTTCAATATGATGGTTATTATATCGATATTTGCGCAGAAAAGGCATTTCCACAGCTATTTCTCGCATAATCAATTTTACCTACACAAAAAAACATCGCACCTTGTCTAGCGTATTTTGTTTTGTTGGAAAGTTTACCAACATATTTCCTGTGTCCATCAGGCCTGTCGTGACATTTGTTATCCGACATGTACTTTATTTGCATAAAAAGGTTAGATGGAAAGGGAGAAGCAACAGTCCTAGGCATGGGTTGGGGGGAGGTCAGGGTCACTGATCTAGGCCGTAAGATTAACTGGGAGACAAGTCAAGGGACCTTTAAGTTACTCCATGCAACATACAGTTGCCACTAGAGAGAGATAATGTAATGCTGCTCCTTGCCTGATTTGGGCTTGTTAGTGTCAGGGCTGGGTGAGGCTGAGCTGTGGTAAAAGGCAGCAGTCTGGATTCTCAGAGAGGGGAGTCTGGCTGAAGGGGTGGTAGAGGGCTGCCTGTTGTGTGTGATGCCCCCCAGAGGCAGTGCAGAGTCTGAGATAGCCTCCATCTGGCCCTTGGGGCTGTAGCTTAGGGCCTGGACCAGGGCCATGGTGACTGTGTAAACACAGCCTACCAGAGCTCTCACGCTCTCTCTGACTCTTACAAACCACCCTCAGCCATTCTCTGGAAAGACAACTAAAAAACAGAAGCCTTTACCGTGAGTGTGAAATCATTTGTGTTTGAAAGTTGGCATGGGCACATGCCAATGACTGTTAGGAAGTAGTGACTGAGGTTCAAACAGTAGGCTAAAGACTCTGGGGACATGTAGTTTAAATGTGTACTGTTGACAAAAAAAGGAAAAACTACAGTTTCACTGTGTGTAAAACTCTCACTCTCGTCAGTGTTGTCTGGGTGAGGCAAGCGATATCAATTACTGTGAAGTTGAAGGTGTGTCCTGACTGAGTATAATTCAGTTGCTCCTAGATGCTGATCTAAGGTCAGTGTTGCAATGATTCCTCTATTATTATGACATATGGAGGGTAAACTGATCCTAGATCTGTGCCTAGAGGCCACGTCTAACCACAGTGTCATGGCAGCTCAAATTTCATTAGGCATTGTCTAATGAATGACAGTAAACCTGCTCGTCTACTTTCCATTTCCTCAAAATAAAACTGATACATGACTTATGCAGGATAAGTAAACAAACCATATGAGCTGCTCAGTTGGTTTCGTCTTATCTTAAGTAGACTATCAAACTGTATTGTACTAGACACAGTATGTGGTTATACAGTTGTGTGTGACTGACTCACACACACACACACACACACACACACAACCTAATGCCTCAGACCACAGCTTACAAAGTTAATCCTCTTTCCTCTTGTATAAGCAAGATGGGCCATAACATACAATGTTACAGGCAGTAGGCTACACAACAATAAATCATCAGTATAGTCAATTGAGCATAGTTATTAGCATATGAATACAAACAACATACTGTTACTGTATTGTCATGACTAGCTTAGATGTGAATTTTTCAAGATATGGATCATTCAGGTTCTCTGAACACTATGAACATGACATTCTAAAATTGTCCACCAAATGCTTAGGCCTACATGCATTGAATATATGTGAAACCTGACTAAACCAAACCTACAAGTATGGTCATTAACTCATTTCATTTTCAAACATCGATTCATATATCAATCACCCACTGAAGGTTTGCACTCACTTGAGAAATGCCCCTCAAGTTCAGCTCATTCAATTCCAGGTAGGTACTCTGTTCTGCACTTCACTGTGACTTGACAGTCTTGACTAACTACTGCAGTTTGACTTTCACTTATCAGAGAGACGACAAAGGCCTAAACCCTAATGATAACAGCAGCCAATAAAGACTACCTGGCAGCTGTCATGAACTGGACTTGACTGGATTCATTGGATACCATGTAGATAGATAGTGAAAAGGAATGTTTACATTGTATAAGTCAATAGTTAAGCTACGGTGACAATGAGTGGAGAAACTGAATGTTATTGACAATGAAAATATGAGGACATAGGGCCTATTATTATCATGACAAAGATGAAATGGAAAGTTAACTAGTTACAGATCTACAGTAAATATTGATTTAATTATGCACCTTCTTATTCCTTGTCTTTCAGCTTATTTCAAACGGTGTGACAAATTATTAAATGAGGCTTTTCATGCAAACCCTACCAAGACAATTTTGCAGAGCTCAACTCATGCAATTTGACATAGCTAGCTAACGTTAGCTAGCCCTTTTGATAAGCAACCTTCAGGATGCACTACAGACAATCATGTTGACTGGTAACAGTGGCAAGTGGTATTATAAAGTGAGCTTTACTAGCTAGATAACTAAATTGCAGTATGGTATTCTTTGATTTATGCATTAAATAGGACAAGTAGAAGTTAGTAATAGCAATGACACTGTAGTTTTTCTACTTTGTTGACTTCACCTGTGGCTATCTAGCTAGTTAGCTGGCTATCTGGGTTAGCTAAGCTAGCTAGCTAGATTCTGGCTGCATGATGACGTTAACAAGTTAGCTTGCAGATTGAAATAATATGGGTCTGAATACTCGCAACATGTTTAACAATATTTCAAATATTGTATATTAAAGGTATGATACTCACAAATATTGTGTTGACGGAGGAGAGTGCAGTAGAAACGTCTCTGTTCAAATGATCTAAATGTGTGGTAGGCGTATCAGTCGAGCCAGATAAATGGATTAGTCATTGCAGTGAAAACGAATTATATTTTAGTCATTTAGCAGACGCTCTTATTCAGAGCGATTTACAGTTAGTGAGTGCATTTTCATACTGGCCCCCTGTGGGAAACGAACCCACAACCCTGGCGTTGCAAGTGCCATGCTCTATCAACTGAGCTACAGGGGCACATGATTACATGGACCCTTGGCATAAATCAACTAATCAAGGTTATTTTTTTACAATAAAAACGGACTGACCTAGGTAAAATATCTAATAAAAAAAATTAAGATATATAATATATAAAGATGTGTGTAGGTAAGTGTAGGTATACAAAGATAAAATAAAGACAATTTATTAGGTGGAACATGCCACAACCATTTAGTAAACAAATTGCAGTACAGGTAAGTATAAAACCCACAAACAACGGTAAAAGGTTTGATAAATAATTACTTTATTATTCTCAAATGCCTTGTAACAGTTCATGCATTCTCCTGGTAGCGAGCCCTATCTTTGTCCATTGAGCAGTGTGACTGAGTGTGTAAGCATCAGCCCTGAGCTCTCATCATTTAGACACAGACCTTCGTTAACACCCACACAGTCCCATGACTACAACTGGACAGTAGTGAGACCAGTACACAGGACCACACAGCACTATTGACAGGACATGTCCAGGGATGAGATCAGGACAGGTTCAGCACAATGAAAAAGGGAAAGGGTCTGCTGGGTCAATTTCAATTATGTATAAATATCAGAAAAATGACAGAAAAAAGTACAATCTAAAATAAAAGTTATATGCACAGAGACTGACAGACATACTGTGAAGTAGCACAAATACATTCACTATAGACTATACATTTGACACAAAAGTGCACACTTATGGTCAATGAGAGGCTAACACACGTGAGTGGAAAGTCATTCCTGCATAAAAGAACCAAAACTACTGTGTTAAATGGCTAAAGAACAATGAATGCATGTGCTTTTAGACCAAAACAATTAGATTTTCCTGTTTTTTAAAATGATATTTCCACACTATGAGGTCGAAATAACACTGAAATTGTGAAAATAATGATAATGCCCTGTTTGTGTAAGAGCTGTTTGAAAAGAATGCCTGATCATGAATTCACAATCAGATCTGATTATTCTGACCAATGACCAGTCATCTTTTATTTGCATATGTATCCTCCTAGTTTGAAGGGGTAAGTGGGGTAGGCTCTATGGTCCAGACGATTCTATCCGGCAAATCAGTGCTGTGTATGTAAATATATTTACATTTCAATGGCAAAAGGAGGCTCAGGGCAATAAATGATACTAAAGTTATTTTCATGAAATAAACACACACACAGTGATTTTTTTATACATACAGTGATGATTTAAAAATACAATTAAAAAGACTGCATGGGGACTTTAAGCTGTTTGTGTAAACTATTTGGCTGTAGCCAAGCCGTCTTGAATTTTCCTGGCTGATCTGAGTACAGCCAGCAGGTTGACTTTATCCCCAAACTCCTTCTCACGGTGCTCAAGCAGAATACCCTGCATGGGGAAGAGAAGGAAAACAGACATGGGTCTCAAAACTGGTCTCTGTGGAAGTACAGCAAGTGCTCATTGTATAAGCATTAATATGTTATGAAAAGTACACCATGTGTAAATGATAGCAGAATAAAAGCACATCCACCGATACATACTTGCACTGGACCTGAATCCTAATTTGAGTTACAGGTAAGTGTCAAAATAAAGGAAACACAAGTAAATGAGGGATACAAAGTGTATTGAAAGCAGGTGCTGAGTTAAATAAACAATTAGCACTGAGTTAAATAAACAATTATCATCCCATCATGCTTAGGGTCATGTGTAAAAATGCCCTGTTGCCCATTATTTTTGTATACAATGGCTAGAAGAAGAATCTCAGTGACTTTTAAAGAGGGGTCTCAAAGGAGCATAGGGGGTTTAAAGTGTGTGTGTGTCTCAGTCACCAGATCTCAACCCAATTGAACACTTGTGGGAGTTTCTGGAGCGGCGCCTGAGACAGAGTTTTACACCACCATCAACAAAACACCAAATTATGGAATTTATTGTCTGAAGAATGGTGTCGCATCCCTCCAATAGAGCTCCAGACCATTTGTAGAATCTATGCCAAGGCGCATTGAAGATGTTCTGGCGGCTCATGGTGGCCCAACGCCCTATTAAGACACTTTATGTTGGTGTTTCATTTATTTTGGCAGTTACATGTATATGCTCACATCTCAAGCAGTTGTCACTATACGGACTTGCTGCAAAGAATTGTAGTACCGTACCATCTAACATCCAATGCATATCAAATAGTCTCTATACTGATGTATGTGAGCTAAGTTGAGTCGCAATTCAACGGCTCAGACACGAGACGTATGTGGCAGGGTCTACAGACAATCACGGACTACAAAAAGAAAACCAACCATGTCGCCGACACCAAAGTCTCTCTTCCAGACAAGCTAAACACCTTCTTCGCCCGCTTTGAGAATAACACAGTACCACTGACGAGGCCCACTACCAAGGACTGTGGCCTCTCCTTCTCCATGGCCGACGTGATTAAGACATTTAAGCATGTTAACCCCCGCAAGGCTGCCGGCCCAGACGGCATCCCTAGCCGCGTCCTCAGAGCATGCGCAGACCAGCTGGCTGGTGTGTTTATGGACATATTCAATCTCTCCCTTTCCCAGTCTGCTGTTCCCACATGCTTCAAGATAGCCACCATTGTTCCTGTACCCAAGAAAGCAAAGGTAACTGAACTAAATGACTATCGCCCTGTAGCACTCACCTCTGTCATCATGAAGTGCTTTGAGAGACTCATCAAGGATCATATCACCTCTACCTTACCTGTCACCCTAGACCCACTTCAATTTGATTACCGCCCAAATAGATCCACAGACGATGCAATCGCCATCACACTGCACACTGCCCTGTCCCATCTGGACATGAGGAATACCTATGTAAGAATGCTGTTCATTGACTATAGCTCAATATTCAACACCATAGTACCCTCCAAGCTCATCATTAAGCTCGAGGCCCTGGGTCTGAACCCCGCCCTGTGCAACTGGGTCCTGGACTTCCTGACGGGCCGCCCCCAGGTGGTGAAGGTAGGAAACAACATCTCCACTTTGCTGATCCTCAACACTGGGGCCCCACAAGGGTGCATGCTCAGCCCTCTCCTGTACTCCCTGTTCACCCATGAATGCGTGGCCAAGCACGCCTCCAACTCAATCATCAAGTTTGCAGACGACACAACAGTAGTAGGCTTGATTACCAACAATGACGAGACCGCTTACAGGGAGGAGGTGAGGGCTCTGGGAGTGTGGTGCCAGGAAAATAACCTCTCACTCAACATCAACAAAATGAAGGAGATGATCGTGGACTTCAGGAAACAGCAGAGGGTGCACCCCCCTATCCACATCGACGGGACCGCAGTGGAGAAGGTGGAAAGTTTCAAGTTCCTTGGCGTACACATCACCGACAAACTGAAATGGTCCACCCACGCAGACAGTGTGGTGAAGAAGGCGCAACAGAGCCTCTTCAACCTCAGGAGGCTGAAGAAATTCGGCTTAGCACCTAAAACCCTCACAAACTTTTACAGATGCACAATTGAGAGCATCCTGTTGGGCTGTATCACTGCCTGGTACGGCAACTTCACCGCCCACAACCACTGGGCTCTCCAGAGGGTGGTGCGGTCTGCCGAACGCATTACAGAGGGCAAACTACCCGCCCTCCAAGAAATATACAACACCCGATGTCACAGGAAGGCCAAAAAGATCATCAAGGACATCAACCACCCGAACCACTGCCTGTTCATCCCGCTATCATCCAGAAGGCGAGGTCAGTACAGGTGCATCAAAGCTGGGACCGAGAGAATGAAAAACAGCTTCTATCTCAAGGCCATCAGACTGTTAAATAGCCATCACTAGCACATTAGAGGCTGCTGCTGCCTATTGAAATCACTGGCCACTTTAAGAAATGGAACACTAGTCACTTTAATAATGTTTACATATCTTGCACTACTCATCTCATATGTATATACTGCATTCTATTCTATAATATTCTACTGTATCTTATTCCATGCCGTGGTCCTCTGTAGCTCAGCTGGTAGAGCACAACGCTTGTAACGCCAAGGTAGTGGGTTCGATCCCCAAGACCACCCATACACAAAAAAATGTATGCACGCAAGACTGTAAGTTGCTTTGGATAAAAGCGTCTGCTAAATGGCATATTATATTATGCCGCTCTGTCATTGCTTGTCCATATATGTATATTTTCTTAAATCCCATTCCTTACCAGTTTTGTGTGTATTGGGCATATGTTGTGAAATTGTTAGATATTACTGCACTGTCGGAGCTAGAAGCACAAGCATTTCGATACACCCGCTATAACATCTGCTAAACACGTGTAAGTGACAAATAATTTTGATTTGATTTGATTTTACTTGCAGATCCATTCTTGCTATTGCTAATTAGTTCTAACTACTGTATATCTCCACTTTTGTCCGTTATAGCATGGATAGAGTGCCCAGTTCAAGCGGTATAGCCCTACCTGATCTTTGGGCCCAATGACGAACACTCCCCCCAGTACAAGACCTTCTCCTTTGATTATATTTCCTGTGCAGCCCTTCCTATAGGCCCTCCACAGGCTCCTCCACACCCCGATACGCAGCAACGCAGACAGGAACATCCAACGCTCCACAGGACCGTATAATGCTCTCTGAGAAAAACAGGTTTGGTTATTAGATGGAGGGATACAGTGACGTTAGCAGGATACTGTACTTTGTTGACGTCTACAGTTGGATGTATATTTGAAAAGATGTCGGAAATAGATGTTATATCATATATTGCACAAAGGTGTGCAGTGTGACTGAACAAACGCTGGAAACATATATTTTACAAGGAACTGTGTACTTTATCTTCTCATGTCAATGCTAACTGCTGTTAGCATTGTAAATTAATTAGTTATTCACTGACCTTCTGGTCTACATAGACTTCCCCAGTAAAAAATGTCTTGAAGGCATCCAGCTCTTGGCCAATGTTCTCTTTGACCACGGCTAAGAGAGGGACCCCCAACTCCTCTAGCTGGGGCTTCAGAGAGGACAGCTCAATGGCCTCCTAGAGAGAAAGAGAGAGAGAGACAAAGAGACAAAGCGACAGAGACAGACAGAGAAAGAGAGAGCGAGAGAGCGAGAGAGAGAGAAGAGGCATGGAGAAACATCAGCACTCGAGTCTGTCTGCTGTCAGGAGTGTGAAAGAATAAAATAGACAAGCTAGTCTAGAGGAGACACCACAACCACAGCGCTCACCTCTCTGCACAACAAGCATCCAGGGCGTCGTACCACCATGATCACTGCCCCAGTCTTCTCCCACAGAGCTTTGGCTTTATACGTCTCATAAACTGAAAGAGACAGAGAAGGGTTAAATATAGCCTACTTCTCCAAATCTATGAAGAGACCTCATACAAGGTCAAATGCTAACAGTAGATCTGTAATCTAAACAAACAGATCTGGCTTACTAACTATTCTAGCTATTAATTTGGATATAAAACGTTCAGTGTTCTGGACTCTATTCTATGACTCCTTACTTCCTCCGGTGGTCTTGAGGTCAGTCTCCTCCAGAACCTTCAGGTTGGCCCACAAAGGCTTGGTGAGGAACAGGTCTGTGATGGACTTTAGTAGATATGCTATGAACAGGCCTACTGCCTTCAGAGCCTGGTTAGAAGTCACCATGGCCCACTCAGACACTTCACATCACTCTGGGGGTAAAAATATGGATCAAGATAGGATATGAATGGGATAGGAATATGTGGGGTAAAATAGAATGAAGTAGCCTATTCATCCCTGAAATACATTGTCCACTCATGCACAATAAATACAGTGTGTGTGTGCACGTGTGCATGCATGCATGTGTGTATCTGCTACAAACATCCCATAGACCCTGCTTTGTTATAGTGTTTTGTTATGTAATTGCTGGACCCGATCATTAACATTCTTGGCCCTAATTAGTTAGTTGTTTCTGAGCAGTGAGCAATGACATCTACAGCCCAGACCTTCAGAGCTGATAATCACAGCTTACTGCAGTAGCGCTCTGAAAGCAGGGCTATATTTTTTATATCGCTGACTTTGATCGATATTAATTGTAATGCTAAATCGTGTTACTATGAAGCACAGTCATTCAGTGTGACACTTCAAATTATCAAAGCGGTAGCTTCGATCATAAAAAAAAAAGATGATCAAAGACGGGAATGGAAAACAACATACAAGAGTGTTATCTTGTTTAATAAAAAACGGAATATGCTACTAACCAAAGAAATTCCTTCAATCACACTTCTTGATCAATCTATCTACAGATCAGTCATTGTCTTACGTCAGATCGTATCACTCCTACGCGACGCTCGTCCCTCAACCGATCAGTGATGGTGGAATCGACGCGCTATCTGACATAAGACAATGCAGGTCAGTAGATGCTAAGAATCAGTCAAGTTCAACAATCAACCTACTGTACAAAAATAATTCCCCTTTAATTAACGGATATGTGACTTCTAGCCTAGATAAAGGAAATTCAACAACAACTAAAATTAATCCATTAAAAGTTAGCCTTTCTCCTTCATCAATGAAAATACAATTAATGTTTATATTCCATTGATCAAATAACCATTAAATACATTATAAATCAAATTTAGTTGAAGCTATAGCATAGAGTAAGTGGTGGGGGAAAAAAATACTCACCAATATCTGTCTCCCTGCTACTAACGAGAGTAGGATTCAATCCCCTGGTCTGGTGTGTTTTCAGCCCCTAACCACTAAGCCCTTTAACCAGCCCCAGTCCAATCACATCACTGTACCAGCCCGATTCAGTATGACCTAACATTTTGCCGATACACACTGTGGAGGAACACAACTCACGTTGACTCGCTATTACTGGGTACTACATGGTCGTATTGATAAGGGCATGCAAAGGAAAACGTTTTAAAATGTTGAGCAACGTAAAACGAAAATGAGTGTTTGACTGTTTCCAGTGTTTCCAGATAGTACCTCCCCGTTTCGGCACGTTTACATACGCTGCGAGCCTAGTGAATAGGACCCTGAGTCTGTAATGGACATTTACTGGAGCAGGTCCATGAATGAATGGAGATTTCTGCTTCACCGCCCACATTAGCCTAAAAGCCCATCAGGATGCTGTCATTTTGTTCATTCATCCCATTCCTCACTAGCCTGGTCCCAAATCTCTTTGTGCTGTTTTGCCAACTCCTATGGTCATTGTCACGCCAAATGGCAAGACAGCACAAACAGATCTAGGACCAGGCTAATTCTTCACTGCTTTAATTTAGGGATCTGAAATTATACTTTCTACTATCTTCTATTCTATGGAATTAGGCTATACTCTGTTTGTTATGCTTTTGGATAGGGACTGGCATGATAGTGGTGTCGAATTGCTGCATGGCTGGTTGTCAAGAAGGTCAAAATTGAAGAAATAGGACTGCCTTTGTTTGGAATATTCAAAAATATAGCAAATGGATAACATTTATATCAGGGTGTGACGATATTGAGGAATCAAATGTACTATATACTCTATATATCCTACGCACAGCACAGGTGGCCCACTATAACTACTATTATACTAATATTATATAAGACAATACTACTACAGTAATAGATAATACTACTACTCTACTGTACTGTACTAGCTGTACTGACCCCCTGTGACCGCCAGATCATGAGGGGCTTAAGAAGGGTCTTAACCTCTGCGACTGGCTCTACAGCGCGTGTCAAACTCATTCCACAGAGGGCCGAGTGTCTGCGGGTTTTCGCTCCTCTCTTGTACTTGATTGATAAATTAAGGTCACTAATTAGTAAATAACTCCCCTCACCTGGTTGTCTAGGGCTTCATTAAAAGGAAAAACCCAAAACCTGCAGGGACTAGGCCCTCCATGGAATGAGTTTGACACCCCTGCTCTACAGGCTTTTTAAATAGGTCTGAGGTCAGGGTTCAAGTCACAGGAGTTCCCAGGGGGTGCTGGGCATTCCCATAAAGATGTGGGTCACCCCTATATGTGCTGTATGTTGTGTATGACATGGGCACCCCCTAAACTTTAAACAAATTATTTAGGCGATAACTGTTACTGTAACATCTGTACATGCACAATTCTAATCTCATCTTTGACTCCTCCTCAAGCTCCTTTTTCAGCTGCCTCTGAAATGTGTCCCTCTAACACAGAAAACCCACCTTAGCGCATTCATTATTTTGTACAAATAATTCTTGATTAGCTATGTTCAATGATGTAGCTTAGCCCATTTATAAAAAAATCGAATTCACAAATTCATGGTGTTGCTCAATGTCATATGGGCCTATTTATTGGCAAGGAGACACTGAGCCCTAGAGGCAATCGACCACATTACAGTTTTCAAAAGTTTTTTACCTCTATCTAGCTCCCCACATAGTCCCTCACAGGCAGACGTTTCACATGAGTCTACTGTGGAACAGATGTAAAAATCCCTCCAAATCTGATTTTGCCGCCCATTCAAGTTAGGCACAAGGTTGCCTTGTTAAATCTTGTTCATTCTCTCAAACTAAATACCATAAATGTGTTCTCATTAGCTGGGAATGTTGTTTGAAATGTCTGATACAACATACTTTGGTGATATCGTTATCAACCTACTACATAGGCCTACCCCTTAAAATAGAAATAAATAAGAATTCAGAGGGTGCTGCAGCACCCACAGCACCCCTACTTCCCGCGGCTATTCATATAAGGCAGTAGTTGTCAAAAACTGATTTGTTGTCATCTTTTGGTTGACAAGGTAAAAGGTCAGTGGTGAAACTTGGCAACTATGGCAACAGAATTTTCTCGAGTTCCCCACTTTTAATTCCGACTTGAAGGGTAATTAAAGTGAAACATGGTAGGCCGTCATTGTAAATAAGAATGTGTTCTTAACTGACTTGCCTAGTTAAATAAAGGTTAAAGAAAAAAAGAAAAGAAAAAAGAAACAAATATCCCAGTCTGAAATAGGAATTTCCGATAAATCCAATAGCATGTGAACGCATAGCTTTTAAAACATTGGCCAGTCAGACCATTACTAGCCTACTTTTCCAGCTGGTTTATTGCAATTTTTAGGCTACGTACAGTTGAAGTCGGAAGTTTACATACACCTTAGCCAAATACATTTAAACTCAGTTTTTCACAATTTCTGACATTTCATCCTAGTAAAAATTCCCTGTCTTAGGTCAGTTAGGATCACCACTTTATTTTAAGAATGTGAAATGTCAGAATAATAGTAGAGAGAATGATTTATTTCAGCTTTTATTTCTTTCATCACAGTCCCAGTGGGTCAGAAGTTTACATACACTCAATTAGTATTTGGTAGCATTGCCTTTAAATTGTGTAGCTTGGGTCAAACGTTTCGGGTAGCCTTCCACAAGCTTCCCACAATAAATTGGGTGAATTTTGGCCCATTCCTCCTGACAGAGCTAGTGAAACTCAGTCAGGTTTGTAGGCCTCCTTGCTCGCACATGCTTTTTCAGTTCTGCCCACACATTTTCTACAGGATTGAGGTCAGGGCTTTGTGATGGCCACTCCAATACCTTGACTTTGTTGTCCTTAAGTCATTTTGCCACAACTTTGGAAGTATGCTTGGGGTCAATTTGGAAGAACCATTTGCGACCAAGCTTCAACTTCCTGACTGATGTCTTGAGATGTTGCTTCAATATATCCACATAATTTTCCGTCCTCATGATGCCATCTATTTTGTGAAGCGCACCAGTCCCTCCTGCAGCAAAGCACCCCCACAGCATGATGCTGCCATCCCCGTGCTTCACAGTTGGGATGGTGTTCTTCGGCTTGCAAGCCACCCCCTTTTTCCTCCAAACATAACGATGGTCATTATGGCCAAACAGTTCTATTTTTGTTTCATCAGACCAGAGGACATTTCTCCAAAAAGTACGATCTTTGTCCCCATGTGCAGTTGCAAACCGTAGTCGGGCTTTTTTATGGCGGTTTTGGAGCAGTGGCTTCTTCCTTGCTGAGCGGCCTTTCAGGTTATGTCGGTATAGGACTCGTTTTACTGTGGCTATAGATACTTTTGTACCTGTTTCCTCCAGCATCTTCACAAGGTCCTTTGCTGTTGTTCTGGGATTGATTTGCACTTTTCGCACCAAAGTACGTTCATCTCTAGGAGACAGAACGCGTCTCCTTCCTGAGCGGTATGATGGCTGCGTGGTCCCATGGTGTTTATACTTGCGTACTATTGTTTGTACAGATGAATGTGGTACCTTCAGGCGTTTGGACATTTCTCCCAAGGATGAACCAGACTTGTGGAGGTCTACAATTATTTTTCTGAGGTCTTGGCTGATTTCTTTTGATTTTCCCATGATGTCAAGCAAAGAGGCACTGAGTTTGAAGGTAGGCTTTGAAATACATCCACAGGTACACCTCCAATTGACTCAAATTATGTCAAATAACCTATCAGAAGTTTCTAAAGCCTTGACATAATTTTCTGGAATTTTCCAAGCTGTTTAAAGGCACAGTCAACTTAGTGTATGTAAACTTCTGACCCAATGGAATTGTGATACAGTGAATTATAAGTGAAATAATCTGTCTGTAAACAATTGTTGGAAAAATTACTTGTGTCATGCACAAAGTAGATGTCCTAACCGACTTGCCAAAACGATAGTTTGTTAACAAGAAATTTGTGGAGTGGTTGAAAAACGAGTTTTAATGACTCCAACCTAA